TGTTTGTTTTAAATTTGGATACAGCAGTGAGGGATTAGTACGCGTCAGGTTTTTTTTTGCCGTTTGTGTTCCCATTAGAGAGTTGCAAGCTCTAATAGAGGAATAGAGGAGATATCTTCCAATGGGTGGGGATTTGCCTCACATAGGAGAGATTTCCTCTCACTTCCTGCTGTCTCTACAAGTCAGGAAGTGAAGCAAGGTCTTTCCAATCGAACATGAAAAAAAGCCTGACATGGATTTTCACAATTCTATATTCTTCCCAAAGTAGAAAAAAAGTTTTGCCTTTAGTTATATTTTAAGCTGCAGACCAGTAAAAATAAAATAAAAGCCAGTACCCAAGCAAAAACGGACTACCATATGAACATATACAGTATACTAATGTTAAAAAACTTTACTCACTAATATATGCAATAGACTAATTTGACACTAACGATCACTTGCTATAACAGGATCATTCAAGGGAAAGCTTTCTTCTTGCACCAGATTTTACACTATCCAGTTTTAGTAAGTAACCCCCAATATAGTATAGAAAAAGATCTAAGGATTTATCCAGCAATGATCTACAGCAATGGTCTCCAAACTGCAGCCCAGGGGCTGGATGTGGCCCTTTGCTTGTCATAATCTGGCCCTTGGGACACTATTCCTCCTACTTCTTCCAAGTGATACAAACAATGTGACAATCATTCCTGCCACTGACACCAAATATGGGGCAGTGTTCCTTTACCTAATACCAACCATGGAACACTATTCCTCTCACTACGACCAATGATGGGGTATTGTTTACTCCCATTTACGCCAAGGGGTTTTCTACTCACATTGGCCACAGTCCAGCTCCCCCAAGCTCTGAAGGACAGTAAACTGGTTATAAGTGTAAAATGTTTGGAGACCCGATCTAAAGGAATTACCCAGGTTTTGTAATAGCTCTCAGAAACAGTTTTCTTTAGGACTGCAATTTCTTCAGGTGTATTTTGTTTATTGGAGGTGATGGTGGTCTAGAGGTCTTCCAATATTTGGGGATCAGATTCTTGGCTGCATTTTAGAGATGAGGTATCACTAGCTGTTAAATTTGAAAGCAGAGATGGCTGTGTTGTGGTATAACACAACCCAGGACCCTTTGGAAGAGTCACCGTAGCAAACTTTGTTATTAAATGGACAGTTTGTACACAGAAAAAGGTTTTATTAGGAACAGTTGCATCATATATAAGAGAAGGTGCCCGGAGCCAGTCCACACCTCTTCAAGAGATCCTAATCTCCAAATGGTATAATACCAACTCTGAAATTAAACCACAACTGTATACTGCAAAGTTGCTTCAACAACTTCTAAAACTCCAGCCAAACCCAGTCTCTTCAAAGGGATAGAGAGGGGAGGGTTAGAGTCTACATTAGATTTTTGGTGCAGTGTGCCCATCTGGGAATTTTCTCCTTACCTCTTCATCAGGAGTCAAACACAAGTGAAAGAAATCTCAGCACTGACAGGTATCACCAGTGCTGATAACTCTGAAATGTAAAATTGCCTTTCAAAGTGTAGAATGTACCCTTCTCCTGCCCTTGTGGATTAGGTCAATGTGCACAATTATGCAAATATGACCTTTAACATCACCGTATACAAAGCTTTATTTGGAAGTTTGCTTAATGAAAAAAGTCCTCCCAGTGAATATCCTGAACATTACAATGATTTTAGAAGACTAGTTTCTGAAAAAAAATATTGTTGTTTGTTTGGCAATGTGAGTTCTCAGGGTGAATGGGAAGGTTTGCCTTCATTATCAATCAAGCTCAGTATTGATTGCAACCTAATTTGCAGTGGAAATTTACTTTAAAATAATACAATTCGGAACATGCAGGGTTTCTTCTTTATTGCAAAGAAACATACTATGTCTCTTGTGCAATAAAACCTTATTTGACTGCAAACCTCTTCAGAATGTGGAGTGAGCTGCGCCTGCACAGTTGTGTACAGCAAGCCACATTGCAGGGACAAATGAACTCCTACACACAATCACAAGTTGTGAGTTATGCTGTTCCAGTCCTGCAAATCAAGATGGCTAAAGATTGCAACCCACAATAAGAGGTCGCTGCCAGCAAGGGAGCCTGAGGACATTGCATGAGTGGATGGGAGTATAGTTCTATGTTAAAGTTGAACATCAGTCAGCATTCAAAAACTGCTACTTAACTGAACTCCTATTTCACTAATTAACTGCTCATTTAGCCTAAAGGCTGAGGAATATGGTGAAAAACGTCCCCTTTGCCTTGCTCCCACAGGCCTTCTCCCTGCCACATGACCACTCCCACAAAGTCATTCCTCTTTTTGCTCACTCGGTTACAGCCACTCCAATGTCATCATGAACATGCTGGTAGGTTAATTGGCTCCTGTCTAAATTGACCCTAGTATGTGTATGTATGAATGTGACTTAGGGACCTTAGATTGTACACCCCTTGAGGGTTAGGGACTGATGTGAATGTACAATATATATGTAAAGCACTGCGTAAATTGATGGCGCTATATAAGTACCTGAAATAAATAATAATAATAATAATAATAATAATGAACAATGCAGGACCAGTGGTTCTAAATTGCATATGCGGAGGCAGAGAGCTCACTACACCTCAGAAGTGAAGGACAATGGAGGAGAGCACCAACTGGTAGAGAAGCGAAGAACAATGCATGTATTTCTCCTTATTGCTTTCCCCCCTAGGCCAGGGGTCTACAAACTTTTGAAAATGGGCCAGTTTACTGCCCTTTCTAACTTAGGGGGGCCGGGACTGTGGACGGGGGGAATAAAAAAAAAGTGCCATAGGATTGGGGTTCAATGGGATTTAAAAATTACATGATTGGTGTGAGTGGGAGGAATAGTGCCCCATCAATGGTGTCAGTGGGAGGAATAGTGCCCCATCTTTGGTGTCAGTGGAAAGAATAGTGTCTCGCATCAGTGGAAGGAATAGTGCACCAACAGCTGGATAAAGGCAAGCAAAGGGCCATATCCGGCCCGCAGGCCGCAGTTTGGAGACCCCTGCTCTAGATCACAAGCAGTGCAAGCAAAGGCAACTAAATAGTAATTTTTCAGTGCCGACTACAGATCAGTTTTAAACTGTTGGGCAAACGTCAGAGAATAGCAAGAAGCCCAATTACACAAGCAGACAAGTGGTTTGTTCTCAGATCTTGTCAGGAAATCTTGTCCTAAAAACGTCTCCAAGTTACCACATTGCAAAGGAAGCAAGACAGGTATATAAAAATCACAGCAACTACAGACTGATATAGAAAGCTAATTTTTAACAGTATTAAATGAAACCTGGCAGGATGGGTAAAGGGATAAAGTTCATTAAAATAAAACACCCTCTCAATGTTACTCACTTTATAGAAGACAGATCTTCACGTATTGTATAGGAGAGTATAATTTCTTAATATATCAGTGGTACTAGTCAATGTAATGCAGTTATACAATCAAAAAAAGCCCAATTTCAGGCCCAAAAATTTGTTTTAATTTCTGGATAAAGTTTATAATGATTAGAATTTCTGGCTGCAGGTTTCCTAATAAAGAAGGGTTCCCTTCTCTTCCTGTTCTAACATCAGTAAGGTTTGTTTTAATTGCTAAAATGCACTGGATACAAAGAAAACAAACAGAGGGCGCACCGACCTAGTGCATTACCTTAAAAAGCATCTATTGAAAAGAATGATAGGTATTTCACTCACAAATGACAATAATGTCAAAGGCACATCATGAAAGAATAGCACTGTCCAATCCACACTATAACTTCTGGTTGGCTCTGAGGCAAGTCCACGAAACGCGTTAGCCTGTTGGAAGTCCAGGGTTCCCATTGCGGACAATTACTTAGTGTAGATTGGACTGTGCTGTTCTTTCATAATGTGCCTTTGACATTATTGTCATGTGCGAGTACAATAACTATCATTCTTTTCAATAAATGCTTTTTACCACTTGCCAGCCGCGCTATATCCAAATGATGGCTACAGCACTGTTGTCCAGTTCTGGGAGGGCGTCATATGACATCCTCCCAGAACGCGCCCTCCACACGCTCTCCTGGGGGCATGCACCTGGCGATCTCCGTGATCGCTGTCCTATGGACACAGCTGATCATGTAATGTGGTAAAAGGCCAATCACAGCGGTCTTTTACCATGTGATCAGCTGTGTCCAATGACACAGTAGATCACCAGTAAATGCAGTTGCCCGTTATCAGCTGCACTTTCCCCACGCTGTCACAGATAACCGGCAATTGTCAGAGAACGAATCGGCACAGACTATCAGGGCACTGAAGATCAGTTCCCAGCAGTGCCACCCACAAGTGCCCAGCAGTGAAACCCACCTGTGCCCATCAGTGCCTAGTAGTGCCGCCCAGCAGTGCCCCCACCAGTACCACCAGTCAGTGCATATCAGTGCCGCCTATCAGTGCCCCCTATCAGTGCAGCCTCATCAACGCACGTCAGTGACGGAGCAAAATTACCTGTTTGCAAATAGAGACAAAGAAAAACTTTTTTTTCAAATTTCTTTGTTTTATAGTGCAAAAATAAAAACACACCAGCGGCGAGTAAATACCACCAAAAGAAAGCTTGATTTGTGTGGAAAAAAAAAGATAAAAAATGTCATATGGGTACAGTGTTGCATGACTGCGCAATTGTCTTTCAAAGTGCAACAGCACTGAAAGCTGAAAATTGGCCTGGGCAGGAAGGGGGTATACGTACCCTGTAGGGAAGTGGTTAAGGTAATGCACTAGGCCGGTGCGCCCTCTGTTTTCTTTGTATCCAGTTGTTTCAATTGCTGTCTGTGTCCCTGCGGATCATCACTAGAGGAGCATTTCACCCAAGAGAAGAAACGTCAGCACAAGGGACACATCCTACTGACTGTAAGTTATATCCCTTGTGCTGATTTTTTGTATTTTCATTTTGGCTGCACTTATGCTTTTATTAAAACAAGCATATTTTGAAAAGAGTTTTATATTTTATGATTAGCATAGGTAAGATACAAAATTAAACCAGTGCAATAGTTCTCACCTGTGGATGGTTCATAAGCCTTTTCTTCTCCTACGGAGTCTATAGGCTGCACTCTGCTCCCTCCACGATAATTGAGAGGCAGGGAATTCTGGAAGGTCCCAGTGGCAAGTGTACTCATGGCAATTCGGAGCTTTGGATACAGCAGCTGAACAAGAGGACGTGCTGAACAAAGTTTCATTAACAGCCTAAAAATTCAAATGTAAAATAATTTACTTATTTCTGCTTTAAGTGTATGACTGGGCAAAAAATATAGTGCATCTCTTTACTTGCAGCATTTTTAAAGTGATAAAACTGTGTATGCATTAAAGTAAAATGCAAGATGATCTGCAAATCTATTGTGCTCCTAATTTCCTCTTTTTGCTGACAACACAGTGCTTCTACTATACAATATCCCAACCAGTATTGTCAGCATTGCCTGATGGCCAACAAAACTCTGCCTATCCCCACCCCTCTCTGTCCCACACTCCACATACATACACTGAAGCCCAGCTTTAGAAAAAGAAAGAAATCCATTCTTGCAATGGGTTCCCCTGCACTATAAGGAATAATTGCCCATTAGCCTAGGGCAGAGAATTAAGGTGTAAATAGTTACCTTCTTACTTGCTCTAGCAGGCTCCCTTTAGCTCTGGGACTGGTCCTCTGCAGATGCTCTACAAGCTATGACCAGCTCCGGTCGCACTCCAGCCTACTACACAGGGTTAGTGTCCTACAGTCAAAGCTTTGGGCAGAGGGGAGCACTAACAAAATTAACCAGGTAATGATAGTGCCCCCTAAATGTAGCACCCCTCTAGTTAGCTAGGAGGAGCTAGATAGGTTTTCAGTCAGAGGCTGAGTAGCAGCCTGGGCATGAATCAGCCAGGTCATCTAAGGTCAGGACTGAGGGCTCTGCAGATCAGTTCACCAATACCTGCCCCTGTTCTAGAGACTTGAGAAGTTTCTAGGAAAGCGGTGGGGGTGTGAGGAGGGGCTGACCAGCACACTTAAGGGACTTGGCCAATCCCCAAGAAGGAGACTTGACATGGGGCCAGGGCAGCCATTAAATGTGACTTGAGCCTGCTCAGCAGCAGGAGAGTATCTGGTGGAAGATGAAGTAAAAGCTGGAGTGTGGAGCCTGAGAATGGCCTGCCTACAGGCAAGAGTTTCTGAATAGGAGGATCTCTCAGCCTCAACTATCCCCTGAGAGAGAGGACAGCTTGGAAAGCAGGGAAGGGGCCATCCCAGCGTAAGGCCAGAAGGAAGCCACCAACCCACGAGCTTACAGGAGAGAAAACTGACTGAGTAATCCTACACCCCCTATGCCAGATAAGGGGAGAGGGGCATTCTGGTGGGAAACCTGACTACCTCCTCACCCGGGACTGTTCATTTTAAATTGGCAGCTTCTGAACCACCTTGCCTAGGAATTCCCTCATGCAGCTGGGTGAAGAGGAGAATTAATCTGGGGTCTAAGGTGGTACACACCAGGAGAGATCTTCAAGGGGAGACTTTGCTGTTTGTGGACTTGTACATAGTTACCAAAAGGAGTTTGTCCTCAGTTACAGTTCCTTAGGGCATCCCAGACACCTCTCAACGCTATCCAAGTTGAATAACCCTTAATAAAATATAAAACAAAGCTCAAGGACTGTTTACTGTTTCCTGTGTGCAAGGTCTGAAGACCTGTGCAGGTCTATAGGGGGGACCCAAATTCAGCAACTCCTAAGGGGGTAGTGCTACATAGACATTATGTGCATGTATTGTAGAGATGCACTATTATTTTTTGTATTGTTCATATAGCAAGAAACATTCTTTTGTTACTCCATTGATGTAGGCACACCCCCCAGAACCACATTTAGGATGTGAGGGATGTGGTTCTGGGGGTGTGTCTACGTCAACAGGATTAACAAAAGAATGTTTCTTGCTACAGGAACTGTATAAATAAAAGCTGGGATGTGATTTAGATTGGAGAGAAGGAAGTTTAGGAGTAAGTTTGGGTCATGTCTATATAAAACAATGGAACTTGTTAAAATTAAGACAATTCCTTTATTTCAATAATGCTGAATTAGGAGGGCTTAGGATTGCTGAGCACCGCTAAACAGTAACTTGTCACTGTACTGCAAATGAAGCCTCACCCATCTTCCCATAAAGCGCTTTGAGGTGCCTAGAGAACAATCCCAGAGGTCACATCCTTTTGAATGACTGAGAAGATATGTTTCAGAACACTAGGACATGTAGCCTAGGGACAAGGGGGTGCTGAAAGCTGCATTCTAGATATTTAAAGAAGGATATTTAAACAAATTGTATTTAAAAAAAAAAAAAAAAAAAAGTCAAAATAGCCAAGTAGCTAAAATGCTTATTTTCTAGAGAAGTGGGCTTCCAGGTTCAAGTTCAATGAAGGATAATGACTGGTTGGTTCAATAAAGATGTGAAGTTGTTGCCCACAATATCCAGATTGTTTTCAGTCTTTTCATACAATAAAAGTTTAAAACCTAATACAGGCCAACTATTAGAAATTACTCTTCAATTGTTCCAATTTTTTCAGTTTTGAAGACTCATGGTCTCCGATGATGAAGGCACTCCCTTTCCTTCTGATAATCCAAACACATATCTTTTAAGTTAAATGGTTACCGATTAAAGTGACCCTGAAGCAGTGTATATGACAGAGAAAAAGAAGGTAAATTACAAGTTGGGGTAGGGTATTAAACGATAAATAGACAGAGCCATGTCTATAACATTTCTATCACTACAGGGCATATTTATAAAGTATGTGATTGGCAATTTGCTTTACTTTCAACAAACATTAACCAAGCAATCACCCTGCTTTCTGTTTAGTTTTTTTTTGTTTTTTTTTTTGTTTGTGAAGGTTTTCAGCCTTGGCCAATATTATTTTAAAATGTACATGACGATACAGAGAAGATAAGATTTTCCCTCTGATAAACTAGGGTGAATGTTACAGCAAGTGCATTTTCCAAATGACAAACAGATGTTGTAAAATGTTAAGAAATTCAATTTTTGCCAAATATACTTTTAAAAAAAGGGAATAAAATGGTAGAATGTCAGCCAAACGTGGGCAAAAGTCAGAAGGGCAAATTGCAAACAGAGCATCTGTACAATGGGTGTCAGCAGGGTGGAAGGGCTAAACTGGGCCTATTCTAGGCATAGCAGGGACCATGATGATGAATGCAATCCAGAGTTTGGTAACTTGGAAAGGGCAGAACAGATAATTTCATGGCAAATTCTCTGGATTAGAGTGCAAGCAAAGTAGCAGTGTTAAGGATTGAATGTTTAAAGTGAATTTAAAAGTGGAATTAATCCAATTTTGTATCTTTTATCTACAGGTAAGCCTTTAATAAGGCTTACCTGTAGCTACTGTAAATATTTCCTAAACATAGTACCATTTAGGAGATATTTACTGTAGAAGCATTGGTGATGTCACCGACACATGCGCACTGTGCTCTCATTGGATGGTGTGCCTCCATTGAGAGAGCCGTGCTGTGTCCAAAACGCCCATGAGAAGGAGTGACATTTTGGCTCGGCCAATCAGATGGCGGCAGCTCACGAATCCGAAAAAGGAAGACCGGGTGAAGATGGAAGTCTTCGGGGAGCCATGACAGAAATCTGCTGGAGAGCTTAGTTTTCAGGCCAGTCCTTTCATAATGTGCTAGTATGCGATGTATACTAGCACATTATGCTCTTAACTTGCAGGGACAAAACATTTTAGTTTTTTTGTGGTTTACTACTGCTTTAAAGGCTTGTATTTTTTCAAAATAATTTTTAAATAATAGATGTCATACTTACCTGCTCTGTGCAATAGTTTCGCATAGAGCAGCCCCTGAACCTTCTCTTCTGGTGTTCCCCACCGGTGCTCACAGCTCCTCCTCTTCTGTGTCTGCTCCCATAGCAAGCTCCTGCTTTGGGGCAGTCATGCGGGGGGTGGTTTGGACACTCAGAGCGGCTCCCCCCCCCCTTCTCCTCACATGAATTGACAGCAGTAGGAGCCACTGCACTGGTTGGGGGGAGCAGAACATGAAAGATTTTTTTACCTTAATGGAGAGAAAGCATTAAAGCTGAGTTCCAGCTGAAAAAAAAAATTAAAGTTAGCAGCTACAAAAACAGTAGCTGCTGACTTTTAAAATACCGACACTTACCTGTCCCTCGGTCCAGCGGTGTCCTCAACAAGGCTGGTTTCACCGGCCATCTTCTCTCCCCAGCATCTTCAGTGTGGACACCCGGCTGTGACAGCTTGCAGCTTTACAGCCGGGCACCCACTGCACATGCAAGAGAAGCACTGTGCTTTGTGAATGGCCCTGTAGTCTTCTGGGACCTGTCACGTGTCCCAGAAGACTACGGGGGGGGGGGGCGTCAGGACAACTTCCGCTTCCTATCACCTAGGCAATCGCAGCAGAAGTGGGAGCGGGTACCTGTCAAATTCGGGTACCCACTCCCCAAAGGTGCCAATCCTGAATAGGGAATGGGGGACAAAGGCTTAAAGCGAAACTTCCCCTTTTGGGTGGCGTTCCGCTTTAAGGTAAAAAAAAAACCTTTAAGCTTTGTAACCACTCAGTGAAATAATATGATACAGAGAATGAACAGAAGAACACTGTAGGTAGAGTTTAGCAATGTGAGGTATGCAGCACGCAGCAAACACAGTGTACAAAGTGGAACTGTACAAAGAAGCGTGGAGTGGTATGGAGTATATCAATGTACAGGAATGTGCGCAGATGAAAAGGTAATGAGTAGATTACAAACCATAGTATTGAAGCAATGTAAATTGTGCAGCAATATAAATTAAATAAATGTACGGCACAAAAGAAAGTGAACTGGTATGTAGTATGTAAAGTACAGCACAGTATAGGGAGTAGGTAACTAACAGCACAGAATACAGAAAAGCATGGTGTGGATATAATGTATAGAGTGGACTGCTATGTTTTATAGAATGCAACATACAAAACTACTGTATATAGCATACAGTGCTACATAAGCATTATGGAGTATAGAAGGTAGAGCACAATGTATGAAATCTGTAACATACTGTATAGCACAGTATACAGAGTGGAGTAGTAGGCCTCATATAATGCACACTAAAATGTACAGAGTGGAGCAATATATAATGAACTGTGGATGACACAAGAGTGGAGCTGTGACAAATCTAATGTAGGTTGCAAATTGTAGCGTAACATAACACAAGTGTAATGTAAGTGATGC